GCGGGCGGCGGGCGGCGGCTCACATGAGGGTGCACTTGCCCTTGATGCGGTCTGTCCGCTTCTGCTTACTGGAGCGCTTGCCGTCGATGTTCAGGCTCATGCTGCGGCGGGTCTCCAGCGTCAGCAGCTCCTGGAAGAGCTCCTTGACGTTGTAGTTCATCTTGGCCGAGGTCTCCATGAAGGCGCACTTCCACTGCTGGGCCAGGGCCTGGGCCTCGCGGGTGTCCACCTCCCGCTGCGTCTCATCACACTTGTTCCCCACCAGCATGACGGGGATGTCCTCCACGCTGCCCTTGATCTGCACGATGAGCTGGTAGATGGGCCCCAGCTCCTCCAGCGACTGCTTGCTGGTGACCGAGAAGACCAGGATGAAGGCGTGGCCCTTGGAGATGGACAGGCGCTGCATGGCCGGGAACTGGTGGCTGCCGGTGGTGTCCGTGATCTGCAGCGTGCAGACGCTCTTGTCACAGCTGATCACCTGCCGGTAGGTGTCCTCGATGGTGGGGATGTACGTGTCGCGGAAGGTGCCCTTCACGAAGCGCAGCACCAGTGAGCTCTTGCCCACGCCGCCCGCGCCGAACACCACCACGCGGTAGTCGTTGCTTTGCTCGGGCATCTTCCCCCTGCCGCGTGAGGGACGGGGCGGCTGCTAGTAGCCCAGACCGACCCTGTGTGGAGAGGACAGTCAGACAGAAGGGCACAAGGCTCACTGCCAGCTCCTTGCTTCTGCCTCCCCAAACCCAGGGCCTCAGCCTCCCCAGGGAGGTGAGCTGGCAGAGGTGAGGCCTGGGCTCCCTCTTCCCGGCCCGGGCTCCCTTTCTGCTATAGGCTGTCCCCAAGCTGTGACCTCCTGGCAGCCAGCTGACCCGGCTCCTCTGCTGCTCTGACACCTGGACCAGCCCTCTCACCACCCTGACCCACTGTGTCCTCGGGCTCTGAACCCAGAGGGCAAAACACTGCATCCCAGCAACCATAGCTCCCTGCTGTGGGCCTGGCCCGTCCTAGACCCCAGGGGCCGTGCCATAGTTTAAAGTGAGGATCTCAGGGCCTTGGCCCCAGAAATGAGGAAGCAGTTGGCCCTGGGAACTGCTTCCCCACCAATAATGTGCCCTGACACAGCGGGTCCAAGACCACAATTTGCATATCACAATGCGGAGTCCCTAAAGCAGCCCCTACCTCTGCGTGGTAGGAACCCACAGCCAAGAAGTGGATAATAATGCTAAGGGTGAGACTAAATAGGAAACTGTCCCCCCCAGCAACCCGGGAGGCCAGGGCAGGAAGATTGCAAGTTTAAGGACAGCTAGGGTGACTTCGTGAGGCCCTGTCTCAAAATAAAAAATGTAAAAGGGCTGGGGACGTAGCTCAGTGGTAGAGCACTCTGGGTTCAAGCCCCAGTACCACAAAACAAAGCACAACAAGGACCAAACTGGACAAGGACTAAACGGCATCCCCTGGTGACCTGGCCTGATGTGTCCTTAGGAGTCCTGCTCCCTGGGAGGGCTCCTTTCACCATCTCTCTCCTCTCCGAGGCACAGAGGGGCCCGTGGCCTCTGGAGGTCACATCACACCACCCTTGGAGAGCTGGAGGAGGGGAAGAGCCGTGGGCAGGGGACAGCAGGTGGGAGGCCTGTCTCCAGAATCTGTGTCCTCGCTCACACAAAACAGGAGCGGCCTCCTCTTCCTCCCCACTGCCCTGAGTGTCCTCACCTCCTGGCTCTACGTCCCTGTACTTTGGACAGGTCCTTTCCCTCAGGCCTGTGTGTCTGCAGGGGAGGGCTTGAGGGTGGCCCCAGAACCAGGCGAGGTCTGGGGGTGTGGACCAGGACAGGCAGATCATGTCCCTGGCCTCTGTTTTCTCCTCTGTCTCCCCGGGGACGCTGGGCCAGTGGGTGATAAGGTGGAAAAGGCCCTGGGGCAGGTGCCTGGCATAGGGCAGTGCCCACACAGATGGATGCCCGGTTCTCACAGCAGTCCCAGGGCTCTGTGGACGCTCTGGGCTGGACCAATGGGCCTGGAGCATGCTCTGAATTCTCGGAGGTACCAGATTTGTCAGGAAAAACAAAACAAAGCGATAATGAAAGTGACAGCCAACACGGAGCCCAGTTCCGTGTCCGAAAACTTGGGGAGCTGCAGAAGACTAGCTGGGCCTGCAGGAGGTCTGTGATTCCACGCACAGTGAATCTCAGCATTAGGAGCAGGAAGGGGGCTGGTGGCCTGGGTGCCAGCAGCTCTGCAGATGTGGCCCCTTCATGGTGGGCAGAGGAAGCAGGCACACCGGTGGACAGCCCCATGCTGCTGCCGCTGACCCAAGGACCTAGGGTCTGTGATGGTGGTGGGGTTCTGCAGCCCCAGATGCAGACCCTGGCTTGCTTTGGGTGCCTTCGTCAGCAGTGGTCTCTCCAGAGGGGCCCTTTGGGGACTGGAATCCTGTGACTGGGACACCTCACATCCAATGATCCTTGAGTCCATGCCAGCTGACCACCTGGTGCAGTTTGAAACCCATCCCCACCTCCTATTTGGGGAGTGGGTCCTGGGCATGGAGCTTGGGTGGGGGAGGGACTGGCTCAAGGTCACAGAGCAAGAGGAGGCAAAGCAGAGAGGCCTGGCTGTACTGCCCTGGGGTCCTCAAGTGTGCAAGGCAGCCCAACCGGAGATGCCCAGGCCAGGGGAACCGGCCACAGCTCTGGGTCGTGGAGCCAGGGCCAGGCCCTGGGACACTGAAGGAACTGCTACTCAAGAAGGCCCAGGGAGCCTGGGCCTGGGGCGGGTCTCGTGGGATGCTCACCAATGTGGGGGGGTGACCTGGGGCACCTGACCAGGGAGAGGTTTGATCCAGATGGGATCTATTCTCCAGGCCCTGAGTAGAGGGAAGCACAACGGGGGGCAGCCCAGGGGCTCCCGCAACTCGAGGAGGAGGACCTGGGTGGAAGAGGGGTCCTGAGTGAGGGGCTTGGCTGGGCAGGCTGGGAGCCCGGTGGGCGAGCGTGGGGGACGCCTATGGCCCACAGACGGCTCCGAGGACGCCCTGGAGAGGGGCTCAGATGGTGGTCCCCTGGGGGCGGAGGTGGGAGCTG